AAATAATATATATATAAAAGATAAAAATCATATTTCTCGAGATTTCCTAGATATGTAATCGTCTTTTAGATAAATGTTAGAGAGTGTATATAACTTAGTTTTTCTTTCTCTCTCAAGTTTCAGAAGGAAAAATTTTTTTGAATACCGTGTATACCATTGTCGTTTCCGAGAATTGATGAATAGATTTGTCAATTTTACAACGTGTGAATTGTCAAAATAACACTACAATCGACCGACATGATAAATCACTCCTTTCAGGTTAAGGATCACCGAACAAGCTGAAATGTCATAGACCAATCGCGGAATAAGATCGTTCAATAATGATACAATGAGTGAACGAGCTACCTATAGATGTCACTGTCCTCGCTAACCTTTTTTTGTGCAGCACATTTCAAACGAGATCTTTCTATACAACACAAGACGAGCGAATGTTGCAAGTTAATAATAATGCGAAAAGCAAATCACGTTTTATATTCATTATTCACTAAAATTATTCTCTTAAATCCTTGAAAAATTCATACAAAATTAGGTAATTTCCGAAATATGCTTTTTATCTTTATACTCGTTTTTATTCTCTTGCTTATATTTTTTTAGTTTCTCTCATACGTTGTTATTTTGATTTAGATTAGATATATATATTGTATAATTTAACACTTTTTAGCACGCAGTATAGATACTATATATTATATAATGAAATGTATAATTAAAGTATGACAAAATACGATATGTACAAACCTGTCTTGCCGTGTTGTCACGATCCCGGCTTCTGCTCAAGTTCAATTTGTCCTTCATGATCTGTGGAATGTTTAATAAATGATTAATATATAAATATCAAGTTAGTATTAATTTTGCGAATGACAATAAGGTTTTGTGAATATATCTCACGAGAAACATTGCATTTTTAAAATTAAAACAGCAGATATGATGATATAATCTCAGTTACAATAATGCGTAACTATTTCATAATAAACTATACTTAATTAAATTACCTTGACTTCTTCTCGTGCTTGCTCGATGAAACTTCGTTGAACGGTCAATTCCTTGTTGTCGATCTTAAACTTTGTCGGATTCTTCTCAACGATACGTATATATGCGTTAAGTACATTATAAACAAATTGAATTAAAAACCGTTTCTCAATCTTATCAAAAAAAATCATTTTTCATACAATTTTTTCAAATTCACATATTTCAATTTATATTCAATTCGAGTTCGATATTCAAGTTTTAATTTTAAACCCAAACTCATACAAATTAAAATTCAAAATTCAAGTGCAACATCAAATTTAGAGACTCGAGTATGTATCCAGATTTAAAATCGAATACAAATTCATACAGAATTTGATTGAAATTTTTCAGATTATGGAAAAGGATATAGATTGTGTCCTCGAGGTCGTCAAGGTCCCACTCGATGGAGCGTAGAGCTTTTCGCAGTTCAGTGGTAGTCCAGTCGAGCTCGTCCGTGCGAGAGATCGGCGGTGCCGTGGCTGAAC